GCCCCAGAAGTTCCAAGAAGCATAGAAATAATTTTGATAGCAAATATTCGTTGAAAATAATCAGAAATTCCAAAATGTTAGGACAGTAGAAGGGACAAATTTACAATTTTCTACCTCAAATGTAGACAAAATTGTCCATGCATGTTACCTGCAATAGCCGTGCACGAAATTGGGTATTATGCATCTTCAGTTGCTGCTTGACTATTAAGATATCAATTCTTTTCATACTGCCTGAAAGTTGAATGCCGTTGAAACACGCAATTTTTTTGGTCAAAGTTAAAACACGCAATTAAATCATTTAATTATGATTTAATGTACGTTTTGGAAAGTGAAAAAGGGGAAAACCAAGAAAAGAGAAAAGTGACAAAGGAAATGCAAGTTTTTGCGTTATATAGAAGTTTCATAATTGTCGTTTCGTGATATTGAAGAAGTGGTTTCTCTTTCCATGAATGCATGTCTGATAATTAAGTCGCATTATGTGTTAATTCGTGTTTCACTCATTTCATGTGCATTTTTTTTACTCTTGAATTTAATAAATTGTTGAATTCTTCATATCACAATGCATTGTGTTTGATTCTGCATTTGAATCCCAATAAAAGCTTTCTAAGAACAGAAAGTTTTGATTTTGCAATATAATTGGCTATTAACAGTTGCTTTAATAAATTTTTTGATTCTTGAACCAAAAAAAAAAAGAAAATTCACAAAATATTACAAAATGATACTCTTTTTTTTTATTTGGTTAATTGGAAACATCTGTTTTACTCCTACTCTAACCTATTCTAGAAGGCCCAACGAGGCCATTGGGAACCAACTAGGATTGAACTTAATTTAACTAATTCTAATCCTCCCACAATGCATATCTAAATACATGACACGCGTTTTCATTTACTAGAAAAGGACTCATTTTAAATTTGACTAATTCTAATCCTTATTAATAAATGAAGAAATATTTATTCGAAAAGGACATGATTATTTTAAATTTGACTATTCCTAACTCTTGTTAAAAAATGAAGACATGTGTCATGAATCTAGATGTGTATTGTAGGAGAAATGGAGAGAGAATCTATTACAAAGAAACTAAATTGGACTGAACCTAGCCTATACTAAGGAGCCCCAACTTGGTCATTGGAGAATGACGGGGATTAAACTACAATTGAACAAGACGGATACACTATATACATTTAAGGGAAAATCGTCCAAAACGTCCCTCACATTTTGTAAAATAACTTTTTTCGTCCCTCACTTTTAAAAATGTAATTTTATGTCTCTTATATATTCACATCGGTCAAATTTAGTCCCTAACTAGGTTTCCGATCAATTTTTGACCGTAATCCATCACGTGCAAGGCACGTGATCATTTTTGAAGGGTAAATTTGTCAAATTATATTTTACATAATCTAATCTATAGTCCTCCACATTTTATAAAACAAATTTTTTCGTCCCTCATATTTTATAAAATGATTTTTTATCCCTCACACTTCACAAAATGAATTTCTCCATCCCTCACATAGTCACATTTCAAAAAATGAATATTTCCATCCCTCACTAATTATGTGTGTGAGGGAAACCCTAAAAATATATATATATATATATATATATATGTGTGTGTGTGTGTGTGTGTGAATACATTTTGTTTAAACACATGTATATGTCTATTTGATTTTGTTTAATAATACGAATAGCATAAATATATATATGTGTCTATTTGATTTCACTTAACAATACAAATACCATATATTATACGTGATCATTTGATTTCATCTGGTATTAGCTAGTAAAAAATCTTGCATTCATTGTCAAGTTGCCCAATAAAGCTATTTTCGGTCTGACAGGTGCCGAACCTGTGCAATAATAATTACTAAAAAGTCCTAATTACCACCTCAATTAAATAATTATAAAGCAAATCCAAGTACTGGAGCAGGGACCCTAGGTGTGCAATGGGTTATTTGATTCACCCTGTTCCCGAAGAGTTTGCTTGATCCGATATACCGGATTTGCCTATAAAAATATTAATTTTGCATACAATGGCAAGTAGGGTTGATTCCATAGGGAGCGGGTAGGAAATTATTTCTTTCCAAATTAGTAGAACAAAATTGGGGGATTTTCAATGGGAGATAAATAAATAGAATAAAAGTAAAATAAAAATAAAACGAACTAAATTCAGAATTAACTCACAAAGCACAATTTAATAAAAATAGCAATTGATAAAAGTTCTACCCAAAGGATCAACTGCTCAAGCACGGTCCAATTAAATGATCATCGATGCAAAGATATTTCATCTATTCATCACTAGGTTGGTTATAGTTATCAATAAGTTCTGACAACCAGTTCTTCCTTACCTTTTCGACAGTCAAGATACGACCATTGACTGCTTCCCTAACCAGATAACAACCCTAGGTACGACCGTAGGAATTTAATTACCCAATTACATTAAAACTAGAAGAACCCAACCCTAACCAATAAACACGCTAAGAGGGTTTATTTAAATTAGATCTTGCGTTCCCCCATCATAAAGCTAATTATGGTGGTTGCCACGGGGCGTTAACTAAATGAACAATTACGGATTCTATTTAATTAACGTGGCAGTAGGCTATTAAATTAAATCAAATATCCGGCCGTTGATATTCAATTAATAAAATACCCATGAACAATTAATTCAGGAAACGCACGAATAGCAATAAAATGAAAGAAATAATGAAAATTCGATTAGATCTCACAGATATTATGGACCGCGCCTTTGCGTCAACCTTTGGGTAGAGGGGAAAATTAGCCGCTCCTCATCGTGTCAATCCCGCGTGATTTAATTGAATTCATTCAATTAATTTTCCAAGAATCAATTGCCCAGAAATTGGGGAGGATGAATTAATCGAAGAAACAATCAACGAAAAACCTGGTTCTGTCTTGTATTGGAGCCGCAATTACAAAGCAAAAGCCAACGGAGAATTGTCAAAGGCGAAAGGAGCGAATTCAAGAGTTAGAGGCGCATAAAAGCAAAAACTACAGAAAAGGAGAAAGTCTCCAATGTCTGACCCAAAGCCGCAGAAGAAAACAAAAGAAAAGCAAAAGCGTCTGACAAATCTTGCAAAAAGTAGAAAAAGAAAACTAAGGCTAAAAAATCTTCCCCTCTTGAATCTTGCTTTGTCCTTTCTTTATAGCCGCCGCCCAGAGAAGTCTTCAAAGGGTTAGGAGGCCCACAATTTGTTTAAAGGTTTTAATCCAGCGCTCCGGGTTCACGTGGACCACGGTCCGTCTTTTCGGTAGCGTAGACCTTTTTTGGCGTGGCCACGCTCTAAGACGAAAGGTCTTCTGGAAATTTGTCTTACGAGATCATTTTTTATGCCAACCACCTACAATTCACACAAATGTCGAATATGAGTGAAATTCCAATTCTTAGCATCGTGAATAGCCAAAATTAAGACAAAATAACAGTGCAAAATACGCCAAATAACCGCTCTATCAAATCCCCCCACACCTAGACAATGCTTGCCCTCAAGCATTTCGGAGCTCAGAAGTACAACCAAGAGAGCAGAGGTCATGTAGTAGTTTATACTAACACAAGCATCTAGGGTCCCTGACAATATCACCAAAGGTAGAACACACCGGACATGTTGTAATTCAAAAAATATATATGAATACTAGGAACGCTCAATTCAATATCACGGAATGCCATCGCCATAGGCTTGCACATTTATCACATCTCCACCACTTAAAAGTGAACTAAACACATAAATCAAAGGGACTTTAATAGGGTTGTAATGGGGTTTTGGGTGAAAGGCATGTTAAAAAGGTATAGATAGGGGGTAAAGTGTCAAGAGAATGTCCGAAACTCACCAATAACTACAGTGCCTTACCGGAGGAGTTCCACAAACAAGGCAGTTTTCATTTGCTGTACACACTGTACAAGTGTCCCCAATTTTTTCTCTTTCTCTCTTTTTTTTTTTTTTTTTGGAAAGAACTGCTCGCAAGGCGTGGGCACGCCTTGTAGCCCATAGTCCTCTAGTCACGAGGTCTCTTCAGGATTTTTTTTTCTTTTTTTTTTTTAAAGAGAGAAAGTCTTGTAAGGCGCGGGCACGCCCTGCAAGCCAAAGTCCTCTGGTCAGTGGCCCTTTTCCAATTTCTCCCCCTTTTTACAAGGATAACATCATACAGCTCCTAATCTAACAGCACTTGCAACCCCAAATTTGTTTGTTTTGCACAAATGATGGATTTCAGACATCCCTTGACAACACAGGGATAAACAAGAAAGTTTAAAGAGGTCTCGGGTTAACGAACACGGGTAACAACCAAAAGCAAAGGATAAAGCTCAAATTGGTTCACTATTAGAAAACAAGATGAATGCATGATTTTCTTTCGAAAGCTCAAAGAGGTCAAATCCTAAATGCCCTTATCATTTCAAATGCATCTAGTTCAACAGAATGTGGTCTTGACATGTATAAAATAGCAAGTTCTAGAATGTTCATACCATGTGCGATACCCACTCAATCAAACAAAATCGAGCAAACAAGAATAACATGCTCAAGCAAGGCTCAAAAGCTCCCAAAAGTTTCAAAAATGGGTCAATTCTAGCATATTCAACATTCAACGACATTGCCAAGGGAAACAAAATATATAGCTAGCATATTTGACCACATAACCACTCACTTTGATTGTGTTATTCATCACAGCACATGTCCAACACTAACAAGCATAGAAATAACCAAAAAGCCGACTAACTACGATGTTTTTCATTTTTTTTCCATTCATCCTATGTTGTGTTTTTTTTTTAGAAATAACCAAAAAGCAGACTAACTACAATGTTTTTCATTTTTTTTTCCATTCATCCCATGTTATTTTTTTTATTTTTTTTGAGTAATCAAAGCAAAAAGAACTAATGAAAAAGAACTAATGGCCACTTCCCCCACACCTAAGACCTACATTGTCCTCAATGTAGAAAAGACAAATAAAGTATTATGAGAAAAGAAGAGAAACTTTCCTGACCACCGGAGAGGGAAAGCGAGGCACTAAGGTGGAGGCGGGTGAGGCGGGTGAAGCGGGGTGAATCCAATGTGAGCGAAGAAGGCCGCCTGATTCTCTGCTTGAATGCGGACGGCGGGCGGCATGGTCAAGACTGGGAGAAGAATTATTGGAGCTTTAGGCAAATGAAATTTGGAAGGGATTGTCCAAAACTAGTCAAGGAAAAAGGGAAAGTGGAAAAAGTAGGGTCTTGGTCAAAGTTTTTTTTTTTTTTTTTTCGTTATCGGAGGGGTTGGAAGGTATGGGCACGCCTTGGAGGACCTGGTCTTCTGACCAACGCATCCTACTGCTGCTCAAAAGAATATTTTTGTCAAGGCGTGGGCACGCCTTAGAACTGACAGTTGTAGTCCTTGGGTTGCCTCCCAAGCAGCGCCTTTCTTTAATGTTTTTGGCTAGACATAGGACCACTCTTTAGTCTGGATGTAATTGAATTTTTCTTGTAATTGGTGGCCCTCCTCCGGGATCCACATGGCCATTGAGTGCAACCTTTTTCCTAAACTTTCTCTCCATTTTCACCTCATGAACTGCCTTCGTCCTGTGGTACTTGTTCGAAGCAATTTTGAATTTACCCCTACAAACAAACTCAGAAAATTCTTGCACAGAGGGATTAGTGGTATAAATAGCAAACACAGAATGAGAGTTAACAGGATGTTTCATTGTATCAAAAATATTAAAGTGGGCTATTTCTCCATCAAATTCCATCGTGAGAGTACCCTTACTAACATCAATTTTAGTCTGGGCAGTACTCAAGAATGGCCTTCCTAATATAATGGGTGATGGATTTGGGGCACTTCTATCATCCATGTAAAGCACATAAAAATCAGCAGGAAAAATTAATCCATCTACTTGCACTAAAACGTCTTCAACTATCCCATCCGGATAAGCACATGTACGATCAGCCAATTGAATTATTATCCCCGTTTCTTTTAAAGATCCTAAATTTAGGAAATCATATATTGATTTAGACATCACATTAATAGAAGCCCCTAAATCTATCATGGCATTTTTTATACTAAAATGGCCAATCTTACATGGGATAGCAAACATACCTGGATCTCCGCATTTGGGTGGGAGTTTCCTTTGAAGTACAGCTGATACATTCTCTCTTACCATCACTCTTTCATCACCCCTTAGCTTTCTTTTGTTAACGCACAAGTCCTTCAAGAACTTTGCGTACTTGGGTACCTGCTTGATCACGTCCAATAGGGGGATGTTTATTTGAATTTTGCGAAACACATCCAGGATTTCTTTTTCCTTTTCTGCCCTCTTTGTCTTTTTCAACCTGCAAGGAAAATGAGCAATATTAGATTTAATAGGGATCGAAGGAATAGACGTTACCTTAGGCTCTTCGCGAATGCGCCCTTCCTCTTCAATCTCCTTTTCTATCTCCTCCTCACTTTTGCTTTTCGAATTTACCAATTTAGATCCATCCACCTCTTTGCCACTCCTTAATGTCATGGCACTTACATTTCTGGGTTTGCCTCAGGTTGCGATGGCAATTTTTCATAGACGTGGGACTCCAAGCGATTGATGACAATTGCCATTTGGCTTATTCGAGCCTCCATATCCTTCATGCCTGATTTTGTGTCATGCTGGAACTGATTGGTACTCATGGTTAAGGCTCTAGTTTCTTGCTGGAGTTGAGCCATATTTGTGGTCAATGACCTGGTCTCCTGCTGGAGCTGTCTAGTCTCTTGCTGGATCTGGGCGGTAGTCGTAGCCAGACTCTTGACAATATTCTCCAAGGAACTTCCCGAGTTGGAGGATGAGGGTTGCGGTTTCGGTTGCCATGGTTGCTGAAATCCTGTGGACGATTGGAGAATGCATTTTGTGGCCTATTTCCATAGCTGAAATTGGGATGATCTCTCCAACCCGGATTGTACGTGTTGGAGTATGGATCGTATTGCCTATGAGGCACGGGCACGCCTCCAGCCATGTTCACTTGTTCCGCCCCATCCTCTTGCAATATAGGGCATGAGTCAGTAGAATGTCCCATATTTGTACAGATTCCACAGGCTTTTACTTGGGGCACATTCCCCACAGGTAATTGTCGAACAACGGATGTGAGCTCCGACAACTGTTGTTGAATAGATGTCGACTCCACCTCATTAACCCTGCGGGTAGGGTTACTCTCACGGAAGCCAAACTGTTAAGAATTCTCTGCCATAGTTTCAATGAGCAGCCATGCTTCCCTCGGGGTCTTATTTGCTAGTGCTCCCCCACTCGCAGTGTCGATGATACTCCTATCAGTTGACTGGAGTCCTTCATAGAAATATTGGATTAACAGTTGTTCACTAATTTGATACTGCGGGCATCTAGTGCACAACTTGTTAAACCTTTCCCAATAGTCATACAAGGACTCCCCGGGATACTGTTTAATGCTGCAGATTTCCTTCCTCAAACTCGCAGTCCGGGATGCAGGGAAGAATTTCTCCAAAAACTTCTTTTTCAACTGTGCCCATGTGGTAATGCTACCTGCTGGTAGGTAGTACAGCCAATCTTTAGCTGCATCCTTGAGAGAGAACGGAAAGGCTCTCAGTCTAATTTGCTCTTCAATGACCCCAGGAGGTTTCATACTAGAGCAAACCACCTCGAACTCCTTAACGTGCTTGTGGGGTTTTTCACCAGAGAGACCATGGAAAGAAGGTAAGAGGTGAATCAGCCCCAACTTTAGTTCGAAAGCAGTATTCTCAACCAGAGTGGGGAATGTGATGTATAAGGGCTGGTGAGTCAATTCCGGGGCAGCCAGCTCCCTCAATGTTTGGGTGTTGGCCATGCTTACTTCGTCTTCCGCTGACTCGTTTGCAGCAAATAAGTGCCCTTCTTTTTGCCTCTTGGTCTCTTGTCTCCGCCTACGCGCTGTCTTCTCAACCTCAGGATCGTATACTAATTCACCTGTGCGAGAAGAACGGGGCATAAACTAACAAAAATACCAAGAAGAATAGAATAAAATAAAAATAAAACAAAAACTGAATTTGAAAAGAAACAAATAATCTAAACGCCAACTCCCCGGCAACGGCGCCAAAAATTGACAGGTGCCGAACCTGTGCAATAATAATTACTAAAAAATCCTAATTACCACCTCAATTAAATAATTATAAAACAAATCCAAGTACTGGAGCAGGGACCCTAGGTGTGCAATGGGTTACTTGATTCACCCTGTTCCCGAAGAGTTTGCTTGATCCGATATACCGGATTTGTCTATAAAAATATTAATTTTGCATACAATGGCAAGTAGGGTCGATTCCACAGGGAGCGGGTAGGAAATTATTTCTTTCCAAAATTGGGGGATTTTCAATGGGAGATAAATAAATAGAATAAAAGTAAAATAAAAATAAAGCGAACTAAATTCAGAACTAACTCACAAAGCACAATTCAATAAAAATAGCAATTGATAAAAGTTCTACCCAAAGAATCAACTGCTCAGGCACGGTCCAATTAAATGATCATCGATGCAAAGATATTTCATCTATTCATCACTAGGTTGGTTATAGTTATCAATAAGTTCTGACAACCAGTTCTTCCTTACCTTTTCGACAGTCAAGGTACGACCATTGACTACTTCCCTAACTAGATAACAACCCTAGGTACGACCGTAGGAATTTAATTACCCAATTGCATTAAAACTAGAAGAACCCAACCCTAACTAATAAACACGCTAAGAGGATTTATTTAAATTAGATCTTGTGTTCCCCCATCATAAAGTCAATTATGGTGGTTGCCACGGGGTGTTAACTAAATGAACAATTACGGATTCTATTTAATTAACGTGGCAGTAGGCTATTAAATTAAATCAAATACCCGGCCGTTGATATTTAATTAATAAAATACCCATGAACAATTAATTCAGGAAACGCACGAATAGCAATAAAATGGAAGAAATAATGAAGATTCGATTAGATCTCACAGATATTATGGACCGCGCCTTTGCGTCAACCTTTGGGTAGAGGGGAAAATTAGCCGCTCCTCATCATGTCAATCTCACGTGATTTAATTGAATTCATTCAATTAATTTCCCAAGAATCAATTGCCCAGAAATTGGGGAGGATGAATTAATCGAAGAAACAATCAACGAAAAACCTGGTTCTGTCTTGTATTGGAGCCGCAATTACAAAGCAAAAGCCAACGGAGAATTGTCAAAGGCGAAAGGAGCGAATTCAAGAGTCAGAGGCGCATAAAAGCAAAAACTACAGAAAAGGAGAAAGTCTCCAATGTCTGACCCAAAGCCGCAGAAGAAAACAAAAGAAAAGCAAAAGCGTCTGACAAATCTTGCAAAAAGTAGAAAAAGAAAACTAAGGCTAAAAAAATCTTCCCCTCTTGAATCTTGCTTTGTCCTTTCTTTATAGCCGCCACCCAGAGAAATCTTCAAAGGGTTAGGAGGCCCACAATTTGTTTAAAGGTTTTAATCCAGCGCTCCGAGTTCACGTGGACCACGGTCCGTCTTTTCGGTAGCGTAGACCTTTTCTGGCGTGGCCACGCTCTGAAACGAAAGGTCTTCTGGAAATTTGCCTTGCGAGATCATTTTTTATGCCGACCACCTACAATTCACACAAATGTCGAATATGAGTGAAATTCCAATTCTTAGCACCGTGAATAGCCAAAATTAGGACAAAATAACAGTGCAAAATACGCCAAATAACCGCTCTATCACGGTCAAAATACAATAAGAATATGCAAATTAAGGTTCTATTGGTAAATATTAGTTATAATCATACAAAAAGAGAAGATGACCCACAAGTTAGGACCAATTACATACATGTGTTTATGCTATTATTATTAATCAAAATCAAATAGACATATACATGTGTTTAAAAAAAATGTATTCACACACATAATTAGTGAGAAATGAAAAATTCATTTTTTGAAATGTGAGGGATGGAGAAATTCATTTTGTGAAATATGAGGGATGAAAAAAATCATTTTATAAAATGTGAGGGACGAAAAAATTTATTTTATAAAATATGGAGGACTATAGATCAGATTATGTAAAATATAATTTGACAAATTTACCCTTAAAAAGTGATCACGTGCCTTGCACATGATGAATTCCAGCAAAAAAATGATCGGAAACCTAGTTAGAGACTAAATTTGACCGATGTGAATATGTAAGGGACATAAATTTATACTTTTAAAAGTGAGGGACGAAAAAAGTTATTTTACAAAATATGAGGGACGTTTTGGACGATTTTCCCTATATTTAATGAATTTAGAGAAATCATATGTATGTGACAAAAGTGATGGGAGGTACAATTTGAACCTTAACCTTCAACCTTATAAAAACTTAGATCTTTTGTGGTGGCCGATAGCCTAAGGAGTCATTGAATAATGTTTTTTATTCGAATAATTATCATACTCCAAGAAAAAATAACTTTCTAAGTTTTGTTTTTTTTTGGTGGGGTGTGCCAGGCCATCGTAGCAGTGCAACGCATGGGCGACGCTCCAAAGCCCAGGTAGTAGGCTACTGTCATGGGCCTTCTCTCCAGAAAAATTCATCTAATATTGGCCCACGTTTCAATTATTAAACGGATAAGAACAGATGCTACACTACACTTCATCTTAAGCGAAAGGTCAAGAAAGGTATAAACCTTTTGAATTGATCATTTGCAGGTTGACGACGCTAAAGATTGGCTTCGTTTGGAAAATTAGTTTTCTAGATATTTATATAAAATTTTACTGTAACTTATTATAAAAATTATAGAAAAAATTTTTAAAATGTGTAAATTTTTGGATATTTTGAAATGTATATTTTAAAAATCTCGAGAAATTTTGTAATGTTACTGTAGTTAAAGTTGTTAAAAAACTTGTAGCAGACAAACTTGACAAAAAACTTGTTTGTCAAACAGGTCCATTAGTTTTCTTTCATCCTTGCTATTGTACTTGTGACACTTTGGATCCCAAAATTCTATTTGTCCTTGCACGTAGTTAGATTGGAGTTCTAGTTTCAAATGATAGACCTTTTTTTTTTTTCTTTTCAAAGAAGTCAATCGAAAGGCTTCAATGAAAACCGTTAAATGAAATTGACATACATAAATTCTTAGTTGCTGAAAGTTGAAATTTCTGCGCGACAAAGTGCATGTCACAACTATTGAAAAGAAAAAAACTTAAGATAGCTAGGTTGGTGAGACATTGATGTAGAAATTTTTGCTGTTGTTCAAAATGTAACGAGAGTTCATTGTATCACGCAATGCTCAGAGCAGGTTTCGTACATGAATTATATTGGGTAGAAAACATTTCACGGTTGACCAAACTTAGTTGTCTTTTCTGGGTTGTAGATGCCCCAATCCTTATTAAACATCTATGGCCCTTCAGCTTCTAGCCAGGATATGGACAAAGTAAAAAATTCTTGAGTTGAATGGTTCAAACCATTAAATTCTAATGTGGGGACCAAGATTCCGACCTCCAACCTTCTACCAAAACGGATTTAATATTTTATAGCATCTACTGAATTTTCATGGTTGACTTCAGTCAATTTTTATTGCTCAATAGATGAGATTCACAGAAAATTAGCTATATGATGAAACTGCGCAGAAGTTTTTTGCGTCAACAACAACCAAAGAGAAAGTAATGAAATGATTAGTAAATAAAAAATACTACTCAAAAAGACATACTGAGGCTGATGAAAACGCTTGGTGTATAGACTCCTGTTTGTCCTTTATTCTATTTTTACTAGTCAATACATGGAGGACTAATTCTACTTTGTACTATCCAAACTTGTGCTCCATTCTCACGTTATTTATTAAGTTTGAATTTTGAATACTTGAAAGTTTAACGTTTCCAACTTAAATCCAATCGATAACAACGCTAGGAAAATTAATGAAATAGAGGATTATGCACAAAATGTGCTTTTTGTATGATAAATAGGAATTGTGAGATGATGGTAAATACACTACTATCTATTCTTGTGACTAAGATATACATTGTGTATATGATGCTCTGTTCAGTTGGTTTTTGTTAACGTTGTTATTGATTGAAATTAAATGAGACAAGTCTAAGAAG